ATATTTTTTTTTTAAACATAATATAATAAATAATTATTTTTCTATTCCAAATTTCATTTTTGCGTCGACTCACATTACAATAACAATGTGCATAACATAATATGTCTATATGATTAGTAATTATTAATTACCTAGCTACGGCATGTATACTATAATTCCGAAAATATTTAATTAGTTTATGCACATGCCATGTGGTCGTCGTCACTTTGTAACCTTAGAATAATATTTTCATACTCATATACCAACCTAATATTATTTTTTAATTCAAACGAAAGTACCTATACTTACAATCTGTAATTTATCCGCAAAAATTAATTTTGGTGACTAAAATTAATATTTAACTAAGTATGAATTACGTGAGGATGAAGGTCCATCAGTGGGAAAACTCTCGTAATACGTGAATATTATAAACAAGTCACAAATTATATTTGTAATGTAGGCCTCTGAAGCAAATGTGCTGAGGCAGCTAAATTGTAAATTAAATATATAAGGAAAAAGAAATAGGCAGGAGGACCGGCAGCCGTGGTAGGTATCAAAATACTACGATGTGTGTGTGTGTGTGTGTGTTTGTATTTAAGTATTTTAGAATAGGATTTCTAACTCATCATTATAATATCTTTATTTACATTTGGTGTCATCCTGTAAGTTTGAGTTCGAATTAATCCTGAAACCGATTAGTTTATGGTCGTCGAGGGCAAAGACATTACGTATCATATTTTTATCTACCATTGAAGTCTAAACTTAAATCGGTCAATCCCTGGTCTTTTGGTGATTTATTCGGAGGTAGAAGATAAGAACTGAAAAGTGCATACCTATACGACAGTGGAGCCCAACGTAAATCGGCAATCTACGACCTAGAGACACTTTTCTTTTCTATTGTGTTTTATCGTTGTCGTTTTTATTCCATTTATTTGTGCACGCTTTGTGAACAATGCATTTCAATATTTTGCATTAAAAGCTTCAAGGTTGATATTTGACGATACAAACGACCACTAAAATTGTAAAAAGAATTAATTTTGTAGATATAAACTACTGATTACTAATTTTATTGCTAGTGATAATACAAACTTTATTACCTATTCATTATTCTCATTACTATTCATTTTTATTAACCATTAAATATCTACTCTAAATTCTTCTTTTTTATTTTTGAGTAGGCAAACATTGATAATTCAACTGGTGGATGTTTTAGTACCTGTTTTGGGGGCAATAAAGGTATAATTAGGCTCATATGCATTTTTTTGTCAATTTTTTTTACTGAATGACTTAAAAAATCCTTAATAACTTAATAATCCYACAAAATTTATTAACTTTAATAACACAAGAGGAAAAACAATATTCGATGACAAAAAAACAGCAAGATAATAATCAAACAAGAGATAACCTAAACTCAGAAATTCATTTTATTCCGTTAGACAAACAAACACGATGAAAGAACRACAAAATTCTAATGACCAAACCAGACCATTCCTCAGGTAAAGATGAGGATGTAAGAAAATATTTTAAGCGATATGAAAAAGCAGCCGATGTAAACGGTTGTAAGGACGAAGATAAAGTAAGATTTTTAATCAGTATTTGTAAAAGATACAGAAAGTACATTTGTGGAAAATTTGGAGGGCAAAAATAATAATTGGACATGAAATAATTTGAAAGTCCTACTATGTTAATTTTGATTTATTTTTATATTAAGTATAATATAATATAATATATAGTTCCTGTGTTAAGTTTACACGATTTTAGTCCACGATAAACGATTGTCGGAGATGGAGAATATAATATAAAAATAACAATTAAAAAAWAATAATCATAGAAACAAGTCTGTTATTTTACAGACATTTATATAATATAGATGAAATATAATATATTTAAAATATATATAAATAATTATTTATGTATTTGTTTATAAATTTTTTTTTTTATATATATATGCTTACTGATTACTGATAATACTTATTAACCATAATTAATCAAAGCAAGGTATGTTAAAATGTTATTAACCATATTGTTTATTTCTTCTCGCATATACGATTTAAATCTTTGAGGGAACAATTATTGACGCAGCACTCTCTGAACATCTGCATTACTCCACGTTTTATAATCGTGGCTTTTTCGGTGTCACCACCTAAAAATATAAATGAAATATTTTTTACACAACATTAATTAATTTCCGAGTGTCAGAACCATACGTATTTTCACGTGTCTCGACCTGTCGTCTCTGAAACCCGGTAAAATAATTGATCGCAGCCACAGTGGAGTGACGTTCGGTTCTAAAAAATAAATACATAAAAACATAAATAACAGTTAATATATATTTTACAAACAAATAATAAGTACGAAAGGTTTATCGCTGAAATCTTGACGTTTGTATATAAACTACAAAACTTTAATATTCAATATAATGTATAAGAGGTAATATTTTTAAGTACCTTTTTAAAAATATTGGACGAACCTTCAATATAATAAATGATAAAATATTAGGGAGATAAAAGGGATGCGCATACATTACCTATATACCTTTATATCAACATCGGATACAGGGTACAGAGGCTCAGAGGTCTCGCCCCCTCCACCCTTTCCCTTGATATTTGAAAAAAWTATTTATACGCAAATTTTACTTTTTTTTGGAAACCATTGATGGGAGCAATTATAGACATGATATCAACTATTATTGGAATAAAAAATGATAAAACTTTATTATATAATATAGAAAACACAAAGTTATCGGTGTTTTAGTAATTAATATTCTTGAGAAAGCGTGGCATAGATACTATATGCGGACATGCGGTACCCAGTGTACCCACACAGATATTAGTTTAATTATTATTTAATTAATATTATGTTAAAAAGAGCAATGTATTGAGTAGACTAAAGCACACTATGAATATAGATGCTTTAAAAWAATTGTTTGTACCTATTTACTTTTTTAACTAACCAAGATGCCCCAACTCTTCCAATATTCAACCCAGAATTTTTGACACACAAAATTGAAAATATTATATAAAATATGTTAGGTAAATGATTTAAAAAAAACGTATTTTGTAATCGTCAACCAAAAAATGTATACCTATTTGAAACGAATAATGATCATTATAGTTGGCCGTCGTTAAAAGGACTTATATAGGTGTCGAGTAGATAATGGATGAGTAAACATTTGAATTCAATGATATAAAATTATTGTAC